TAAGCGCTCTATGAACCCACACACAAAAGTATTGATAACCTTTAACTAAGCAAGATATATATTCAAAGTAAACATAGCTATGTAGATAAGAATATGATAAATTGATAATAAGTCTTACAAGATGTAGAAGTGAAGATACAAGGCTTTGCCGAGCCTCCAATACTAGATCCGGAACTTGAGCATGAGCCCAACTCGACCCTCACTCCCGACCTACTAATCTACTACATTGGAGAGCTCTAGATCTAATCCTCCTGGTATGTCTTGATCTAAATGAGAGATATGAATTAGGGTTTTCATGATGGCTCTAGGGAGGGGGGTAGAGGTTGCTATATATAGGCCGAGGTAGAGTTGGGGGCAAGGAATCAAGGTGGAGTAGGGGGCAAGGAATTGAGGTGGAGTAGGGGGCAAGGAATCGCCATATCATCAATACGCGTCAACTCCCTCGACCACCGTTGGATAAACCGACCTAAAACTGCCTTAAAATCAACGGTGTAGATTGTAGGAAGGAGTACAAAGTGGTGGAGGGTGAGCGGGCCCCGTGGTAGACCGGCCGTCCTATGGGCTGTGCAAGCCGGCCCACTTTCATGGTCGCTTGGCCCAAGCTTTAGTGTGGTGTCTCTGGATCCTTCTAGAGTTGTCTTTCGCAGTTTTCGGGGGTTGAATCGCTTGTTGTCGTCGGTTTGCTTGTTTGGAGTGTATGACAGTGGTCTCGGGAGCTGTTTTTTGGATAAATCCTCCTACATACAAATATTTACCAAAGTTCGTGGAATTCATTAGTTTAAACCCCTATACCTATGTTTGGTGATGGAATTAAGTACATATGCAGGATATGTTGATGGTTTATAATTCGTGTTAACGACCGTCAACAAGTTGTTATTCATTATGGGGCATGGCCCACAAGTCAGCACGAGTGGGAGATATTTTCCTACCCCAGATCCCTAGCCTCACTCATCCTCTCCTCATTTCTATCACACACTCTCTCTAGATGGAGGAGCAAGGAGAGGGAAAGGATAAACTATAGTGAGAAAGAGAAGAAGAAGAAGAAGAAGAAGAAGATGGAGGAGAAGAATCAAGATGCTAGAAGGCAACAAGATCAGCCCTAGACCAAGCACTTGAGCTTCAACAACCACTCATCTCATGGTTAGCTCAAGAGCTCTCTCCTCTCTTTATCTTGAGATCAATCCTCCAACCCTAATCTAAGTGTTTTCTCTTGCATGGATGGATCATGAGGATGGCTTGATGAAAAAGTACGCCAAGAGTAAGGATCAAGTATGCCATCCCTCAATCTCTCTTTATCTCTAGGATTTCTCTTGGTCAAGGAGTCACTAGTTACACTAGTTAACCTAAGCCATGCCTAGCTACCTTGAGCCTAGCTAACTCACCTGAAGTATAGTCACCAACAGTCACCAACAGTCAAAGTTTCTCATTGAGTGAGAATATCGGAGCGTCCATCACCACGGTGGAGTGCCCAATGAATTATACCGAACCAATAACCTGAGGACCCGAGAGCACCCAGTTCCCATCGGAGTCTCCGTGATTCCCGCGGAGCATCCGCCAATCAGTATAGAGCCAAACCAGAGATAACCCACCTCGGCACCCAACACAGTGGAGCGTCCGTTAGTAGGACAGAGTGTCCGACTATCACAGAGAGGGTGAAGTTAGTTAGTAAGTTCGCTCAAAGGGTCACCACCATTAGTGCACACCCCATAGCTAGTAAAGCAGCCATAGGGTCACAGTAGATGCCTCTAAGTCCTTACTAGAATTCCTAGTTTCCTTATCTATCGTGCGATCATCCCCAATCCTTGGAATCTCTCCTTTTAGGCTCGGATGTCTCGTTTCATGAGGATCATGTGCGAGTCGTCAGGATCGGCAGCACTATCAGGCAGGCACCCTACTATTATAAACCCTACTTTGGATACTTATCAAGTTGCATTATGAGTCATGCATTCCATGTAGTCTTGGATAATGATCACTCTTATACTACACCTAGAGTAGTCTAATAATCTACAAAAGCATCTCATCTAAACAATGGGAATGGAAATGCTTAATGCTTATTTCTTAGATGCTTGGGCAATGGTAGAAGTCGAGCATGAGAAGGGAACTCATACTCGCGCGTGTAGGATGTTACACCTGGATAATTAACTACTAAAACCAATGAGGGTACAACTTGACTTACCTAACTAATTTGGATAAGAACTAATATCCCTAATGTGGTAATCTTGATGCTCACTTGGATATCTTGCTCATGCAAGGGGTAGGTCATTGTGAGTGTGGGATCTCAGGCGACGTAGCTCGTGGAGCAGTAAGGACCATGTATTGTGATACGTAAGTCCGAGTAACCACATGTACAGACCACATGACGTGGATGGGGTCGACAAGCCAAGTAACTAGTTGCGACCTGTTTATCCATGAAACTAGAAAGGGGGGTGGCGTTAGTTGGGAATGTCTGGGGCATTGACCGGGAACCTAGCCGAACTTTTCATGTGACACTTGGGCCGGATTAGTGAAATATTGGAAGGCGTGAGGCAACCCTTACCCGGGCATGGGTATGGTGGTTAGTCCCGACTTCCGTGTGGGTACAGTTGTACACCTCTGCAGAGTCTTGAAAGCCTGGAGTCCTTTGGGACGGAACCATTTGGTTATTCTTTCGTTCTATACCCATGGTAGCATGAACAATGGACTATGAGCACTTCATTATAATGATGAATATCTTTACTACTAATGTTGAGCATAGCATGTCATATTCCTAATGAACATCATTGCTTTCCGCACTCATACAAATGTCCAATAATCACCCTATGCATCCAACAAATACTATATGTTGGAATTAAGCCCTGCGAGTATGCAATGTACTCACGGTGCAGCCGTTAAGTTGTTTTGCAGGTACGTCGTAGACTGTGTTGAGCACTAGCTCGACCGTCGCTGCATAGTAGCACTTGGAATGGGTGTGACTCCAAGCGTGCTACAAGTTAACTCCGGATTCCTTGATGGAGCGACTATGAGAGTGAACCGTAGTGTAGTAAAGACCGTGTCCACTAGATGGAGCGAGAAGTAAAACTTGTACTAGGAAGTCTAGTTAATTTGTACATAATTGTATCAATTGAGTTCCATCTACTGGTTTGATGTTGGAATAAAAATTGGAATACTATGTGCCACTCAACCTGATCCTGAAGAGGAGTTGCTCGGTGTGCTCCTGAGGGCCTCGAAGCTACTACTTCGACAACCCCCATGACAGTGATATCCTTGATATCCGGTACATTTTGACCTTTCCATGCCAGTTAACCTTGCACATGTAGCAAACAAGACATAAGTATAGCAGTATTACAAAAAATTCAAGCAAATGAAGAACTAGATTTGTTTTCTCGCTCGACCATAGATATAGTTCTTGATCTAGATCACCCAAAACTTGAAAAAGAGAGCAGAATATGGATGTGGGAGTGCATAGCAACCTCCTACAGTGTCCTCCTTCAAGGAATCCAAGAGCAAAACTCCACCAAAAAATGGTAAATTTTTGGAGGTATAGAGCTTAAACCGCATCAAATTGAGAGGGTGGGCTCATGGAGGAAGAAGATGAAGTTGGTTGGGGGCTGCATTTATAGGCACGGATTAACAGATGCAGGCACTTTAGCAGAATCGCCTCCGTTAATCTATTAACCGAGGCGAAGCTGTCCGCCTCCGTTAATAAACCATTAATGGAGGCAGTCATGTAAAGGCGGCCGCCTAGGTTAATACATTAATGGTGGTGGTTGCCGTAAGGCGTCCGCCACCATTAGGGGAACTAATGGAGGTGGTTGCCTTACGGTGGCTACCTCCGTTAACAATTAACCTAGGCAGGCATTCGGCCGCGGGCCCTGGTAACGTTTTACAAAGGCGGCACTCTATTGTGCCTGCCTCCGTTAATCTGAGGCCAGTGCCTCGCGAAATCATTTATGTATTAGTGGAGTGAAAGTTGGGTGCGGTGAGGGCGCGCTGAGTTGAGTTGGAATTGACAAGGCATTGAGGATAGAGATGGGAGTCGGTGGTCCTGGTGGGAAAGTTGTAGATGAGTGAGGTAGTAAGGGAGAGAGACAGAGGGGTGAGGCCGGTGAGGGTTAAATTTTATTGGGCTAGGATCCAATTAAGAACAAGAGGATCGCTAAACAGGGACTTCAGTATTGTTGAAGTATAAATGAATTGCCCATATTTTCCTACCAGTTTAAATTTTTAGATTGAAATGGTCATTGAATGCAGCTCATTAGTTTGAATCCTATGGCATCATGTTCAGAGGTCTGGAGCTTGCATCCAGGCAAGGAAATTAAATAAAATAATTAGAAAGTTATAGCAAACTCCTATTTCCATGTTAGAGTCCAGAGGGAGCCTGTATACGAGTAGTAGTATTAAAGTATAAGTAAATTGTCGAGCTTTCCCTGTCAATCTAAGATTTGTATTAAACTAATTGCTGCATACAACTCAATAAGAATTTCTATATACGCTAGTAAACAATAAGAATATTAAGAGGTCTCGTTTACTCTCTCAAGAGCAGAAAGAGTCCATTTTGTTAATGGAATGGCAGAAGGCTAGGCGCATGGTCGTTAATACACTGCATTAGACACATCAAAGACTGTATGTCACTAAACATATATCAACAAATAGAATAATAAAATAGAGACTAGAGATAGAGATATACGTGATCCTTGAGGTAAAACGAAGTTTCAAAACATTATTCTGGAGTTCCTTAGAGATCATAGATTGTATGTAATATACAGTATCAGATGAGTGCATGCTCAATATATCCCTGCCGGTTGATAAGCCAACCCGGCAATGATAGCCGACCATATCACTGCCAGGTGATTCTTTGACCTAACAGTGTTGTCTATTATCACTGTCGGATCGCCAAACCGGCAGTGATAGGACATCCTTATTTCTGCCAATTAACCTCTGCCGACAATGGCAGTTGCTTCCTACCCAGTAGTGATTATCAGTTCTCGCGTAGTGGAAGACTCTTTGGCACAATCACAGATTCACAGGCAGTACAGCTCAACCGACTGAGCCCGTGCCTTGCGCCTGATGATGGCGCTTGCAGCCAGCGCATCACTGCTTGATGTCTCCTCCAAATGACTCTCATGCAGATCACTCATCTCTGAGATGTCATCGAAGCTGCTGTGAAGGATCCCTTCTTCCGGTGGCCACACAAACGTTGGCTTTTCAAGTGGCACGTTGGGCGCTGGCACCGACTTGGCGACGACCTGCATCACCTCGGTCATGCTAGGACGATCCAACGGGTTGGGGTTGGTGCATGCTAACCCTAAGAGCAGCAACCGGGTGACGCCATCCGCATCATACCCTTCCGTGGAGATGACATTTTTGTCGACTGCTTCTAGCAGTCTTCCTTCCCGGTGAAGCCTCCAGACCCAGTCAGTGAGCAGCTGAAACGTGTCTTGGAAGGCGCTGAGAGCTCGCCTCCCGGTGACCATCTCAAGGGTCAGCACTCCGAACGCATAGATGTCTGTCTTGCGGGTTGACTTTCGGCTCACCGAGTACTCCGGCGCGATGAAACCCCATGTACCGGCGACCCCGAGGTCAGTGTAGGAGTTCTTGTCGAGACTCACGATGCGCGCGAGGCCGAAATCGCCGAGGCGGCCATGGAAGGTGGAGTCGAGCATGATGTTGCTGGCTTTGATGTCACGGTGGAGCACCATGTGCTCATGCTCGTGGTGGACGTAGTGGAGCCCCGCAGCTACATCCACAATGATGCCGTAGCGGGTAGTCCATCCGAGGATGCATCCTGCTTGTTCCTTGGGAAACAAGTGATGGTCAAGGCTGCCGTTAGGCATGTACTCGTAGATAAGTAGGAGCTCCCCCTTCTCGTAGCACCAACCTGGAAAAACACTTTAAAATACATGGTCAAACTCTTAATTAATTGCTAGCATGAATGAGTCCAGAATATATATTTGTAGGAGTGTGAAACTTGAATGAGCTAATGTTTCATTTGCACAAAATGAAAATGGCAATCTACTGCTCTTTCCAATTCCACGAAAGTTAATTTGACCAGCAGCTTAGACTCTACAATTTGGTGCCATTAATCAACTCTATATGTACTCTTATTTTATCACTACTGTAAAAATAGTTTTAGGAAACAACCCATTTGATACACAGAGGTGGACAAAAAAAAAATGTCCATGCCTCCTAAAATACACGGCTATTTTTGGAGACCGTCAATCTATTTTCAGCGACACTCAAAAAAATTACCACCTCTGAAAATAAAGATCATTTCCAGATGTGATAGAGGCCCAGCCAACTTGACCTATCTCGGTATATATACACGATAGGAACCCTAGCCCATTCATTTATCTCCCTCCCAACGCAGCCTCCTCTCATCATCTCTTCGTTCTCTCCCTCTCCCAATGCCGCCTCCTCTCACTACCCCCTCCCTTCCCTATCTTCTCCCTCCGTCACCCGCAACCCTAGCATCACCGATGTAGAGGGGGCAGAGGCATGGCCGCGCGACCTAGAGCCGCTCGTTCATGGATGAGAAATGGACGCGTGGATCTAGAGGCGGCTTCGTGGTAGCCGCTTGCAGCATTATGACCGGAACATTAGATGCGGATCCATTTGCCCAGATCTCATATCCAAATGCTACAGCGTCGATCGTAGCTGTGACGACGCATCTCAGGAGCCACGGCAGTCAACGGCGGCTGCGGCGGCATGTCTTGGGAGCAGCAGCGTCAACGGCAGTTGCGATGGGGCATCACGAGAGCTTCAGCATCAACGATGGTGAATTTCAAGAGTGACGATGACTACAGTGATAGCGAGCTGAATGGTCTTGGCGGCGGCGTGCTCACTGGGGGACTTTTTTTTTGTTTTTTAAAGTGATTTAAACGAGATAGGCATTTGGTACCGTCTATGTTGGGAAAGCAAGGGTGGCGGCTAATGACCAATCCTAAGTCTTTGTGTGCGCGGGTAATTAAGGGGAAGTACTACCCCAATGGAGATTTCCTGTCGGCCACAAAGAAGCAGAACTCATCTTCTACTTGGCGTGCTATTTGTTGGGCAAGAAAGCCTTGCAGTGCGGATTGGTGCGCTGCATCGACAACGGCGAGTCCACAAATATCTAGCATGATCGCTGGATTCCAGGAGCAGTAGGTGGTTGGCCCATTTGCTCTAAGCCAGGTGCGTCGGCAGTACAGGTTAGCGAATTCCTATATGCTGATGGTCGGGCTTGGAATGATGCGGCTCTTAAGGGCGTCCGCAACGGCGGGCGACGTCGCCGGCCCAGGTCCACGTGGAAGGCAGAGAGAGGAGGGAGGCAAGCAGTCAGACCAGAACGATTTCACTCCCAAGGAAGAAGGTGGGGGAGGAATAAAATATTTTTCTTTGCTTTCTCTCTCATCCAGCTCACTGGCTATTTCGCCCGCCTGACTGCGGATGGCCTAAGAGAAACTTGCTACATATGGATGCACAAGCAGTCAGAAGAATTCCACTAGGAAGAAGGCAGGAGGATTTCTGGGCTCTCTCGGGAGAGCGTCACCGCATTTACTCAGTCCGTTCAGCCTATCACCTTTTGGTGGAACAGGAAGTGCAAGAGCAGGATCATGGAGTAGGCGCTGCTTCTCACTCGGCCGAGGCTCTGAATGATCCTCATTGGCAGTGAGCATGGAGATGCAAAGTGCCACCCAAGGTAAAGGTTTTCTTGTGGAGAGTATCCCATGACTTTATACCTTGTAGAGCAAATCTCCATCATTGACATATTAGATATGTGCGGTTTCTGTGGCAATGATGAGGAGTCGACTTATCATGCGTTGACACAGTGTACGTATGCTATCACTTTTTGGGCGAAGTTTAAATCTCTCACGGGTATCAAAGTCCCCAAACTAAACCCAAGAACCTGGACAAGGGACTTGTTGGATACTTCTTGTTGTAAAGATAGATACCGGGAAGTGATCTTGTGTGGTATGTGGTCGCTCTGGAACGCCAGGAATGATCGGCGACATAGAAAATCACTGATCGAATCAAGGCTGGCGGTGGAGTGGGCACTGAAGGCATGCTTCCACCTATCAACTGGCTCTCAAACTCTAGAAGACAGGAGACAATCAACTTAGTAACATGAGAAATAGAGGAAGCCGGATAAGTTTTTCTGAAAGTTAACATAGATGGGGCCTTTGTGCAGGACTCATGTGAGGGAGCAGTTGGAGCAGTGGTGCGCGGTAGCTCAGGCCAATTGCAAGTGGCCTCTGCGCGACATTTGAGCTCAGTTGGTTCAGCCTTATTAGCTGAAGCAGAGGCCCTTAAAGAAGGGGTCCATCTTATTGCTAGGTGTTGGTTTCTCTTTGAAAGAACATGGGTACACATCGCTAGGAAATTGCGACAATTCTGAACAAGGTGGAAGAGTTGGTGGCAAGCTTCAGTCCTTCAGACTCATGCATACAAGACGATCAGCGAACTACGCAGCTCATTTATGTACCCACCACTCTTTAGTTTCCTTTCATGATTTTGTTTGGCAATCTCCACCTAGCTTCTTGCAGAATTGTCTACATTTGTTGTAATAATTCTCCTTAATGAATAAAGCGTTTGTTAAAAAAAAGAGACGAGCATGCTACTCATCTCTGAAAATACGTTTTGACTGCCTCCGAAAAGGCTTTTAGTAGTAGTGTATACAGGTGGATATATATTGTGAGCAAGGGACGGTGAGTAGGCAGATTTGCCATGTATAGACTACGCTTTATCCGATTTCAAAGCTGGTTGTTTATCTCAGCTTCTTTTATTATATTATTAAGACAAAAATTTAAGGACGTAAACATGCATAACAAATTAAACTAAAACTATGTATATGCTGGAAGAGGATGAAATTGTCAAAAAATGATTGTCTAAAACAAACACTTAGGCCCATTTGGATCATTGGAACTAAATTCATTCTAATAAATTCTAATTTAGACACATATTAATTAAACTAATATGGTTGTATATGAAATATATTTGTATACAATTATTAGCTATGTAAGTGAGATGCTTATATGTTGCATTTCTACTATATGAAAGCGAGTTGAAGAGCATACTATAAGTTACGGTTATAGAAAAGTGAGTTGAAGAGTATACTATAAGTTATGGCGTAGAAACATAGCATGTTGATATATAGAATGGATTTTCATCTCCCATCCTATGAAATTGAGATAAGCTTATATGTGAACTTTGAAAAGTTGTGGAATCTCAAATTCCAAGTCAAATAGCCTAATCCATTAAGTAGAATCCAATTCCTCTAAAATGAAGGGATCTAAACGGCCCCTTATACAAATTTTGGGAAAATGTAATCCTACTTGTTTTTGTGTAAAAAACAATTATTTCACATGTCCTTAATTTAAACAGCTCTCATCTGCAATACAATTCCGATCTATGCCTTGCTATGAATAGCATTGGTGGATGAATTGTCAGAAGTTGGAAAGGGCGGATGTGTTGTTCTTGTTAGAAACAAAATCCGATGAGAAGAGGATGTGTTTCTTACGAATGAAGCTGGGTTTCGAAAATATGGAGGTGGTGGACTGTGAAGGAAAAGGCGGGGGAATAGCAGTGTTGTGGAGGAGAGGGCTCAGTATGGTTTTGAAGAGTAAATCTAAAAACCATAGTGATATGGAGATCTCGGAGACAGGGGTGATCCTTGGTGGTTTACAGGAATTTATGGGGAACCGCATGAGGGGATGAAGTACAAAACGTGGCTGTTGTTGGAAGATCTAGCCACACAACAGCAAAATGGGCAGCCCTGGTTGTGTGCGGGTGATTTCACACTACTACAGATTGATTTATCACTGTCGCTATTTTCACTGCCGTAGCAATAGAAGGGACGGTGTGATACTTGCACCGTCGGTTGGAACGACAGCGAGACCTCTAGGACTAAAACCGGCAGTTCAGACTTATACCACCGACGGGTTAACGATAGATGTGACAGTGGTATTGGGGTTGTATTTCCTCCATCACATGAAAAGCCAGGCCGACTGGGATACACATTTTGCCCACAGGCCCTAAAGTAGCGTTTGGTCAACTGGCGGAAAATTCAGCTTGAGTGTTAAATTGCCTCAACTTCCAAGGCCGTCAAATCACCATTACTTCTGCTGCCTGAAGCCTAAGGGTCGCGTACCCACTACTCTACATATACTTCTGGCCCGATGCCCTCTGATACGACCCCTCTTCTTTATCCATCATCCCCTTCTCTTCCAATCTACGAAGAAAATGTCGGACAGCCCCATCAAGTTTCCAAGCAGCCTGTTGTCCAGTG